TCTTCTTCTTCTTCTTCTTCTTCTTCTTCTTCTTCTTCTTCTTCTTCCTCCTCTTCCTCTTCCTCCTCCTCCTCCTCCTCCTCCTCCTCCTCTTTTCTTCTTCTTCTTCTTCTTCTTCTTCTTCTTCTTCTTCTTCTTCTTCTTCTTCTTCTTCTTCCTCCTCCTCCTCCTCTTCCTCTTCCTTTTCATCCTCCTCCTCCTCTTCTTCTTCTTCCTCCTCCTCCTCTTCTTCTTCCTCCTCCTCATCTTCTTCCTCCTCCTCCTCCTCCTCCTCCTCCTCCTCCTCCTCCTCCTCCTCCTCCTCCTCCTCCTGCTTCTCCTGCTTCTCCTGCTTCTCCTTCTCCTTCTTCTTCTTCTCCTCCTTCTTTTAAGTTTGTCATCCTGTCTTCTGCCTCCCAGGATGGCAGTCTCCAATGCCCCACTTGCAAGGCCATCTATGGGGAGAAGACGGGAACTCAGCCTCCTGGAAAGATGGAATTCCACATTATCCCCCACTCTCTTCCCGGATATCCGGATTGCAAAGCTATCCGCATTGTGTATAACATTCCTGCGGGGATCCAGGTGAGAAAGAGAAGCACCTTGCAGGTAGCCTTCTTCGATGTACGGCCAGAACGGAGCCCGAAATTTATGTTGCTAAGGGAAACAGGTGGGATGTGTGAGTTTTGTCCCCTTTTACAATCTTTCTTGCCACGTTTGTTAAACGAATCACTGCAGTGGTTGAGTTAGCAACCACAGGTTGTTAAGTGAACCCATTGATTTGGCTAGTGGGAAGGTCCCCCAATGGAATCAGGTGACTCAGGATCAGGTGCAGCCGTTATAAATATGAATCAGTTACCAAGTCTCTGAATTTTGATCAGGTGTCTCTAGGCATGCTCCAACGGGCGTAAGTGTGGGAAATCGTCCCCATTTTCAGGGTCATTGTAACTGAACAGTCACTGAATGAACTAAGTTGAGGACTATAGTAATAGAGAATAGCCCTTAGACTTATGTACCACTTCACAGTGCTTCACAGCCCTCTCTAAGTGGTTTACAGAGTCAGTCTCTTGCCTCCAACAATCTGAGTCCTTGTTTTACCCGCCTTGGAAGGTTGGAAGGCTGAGTCAACCTTGAGCCGGTAAGAATTGAACTCCTGGCAATGTGCAGAGTTTACCTGCAATATTGCTTTCTAACTACTGCACAGGAAGAAAGGGAGGGAGGGAGGGAGGGAGGGAGGGAGGAAGGAAGGAAGGAAGGAAGGAAGGAAGGAAGGAAGGAAGGAAGGAAAAGGAAGAGCAAAGCAATAGCCCTTAGATTTTTATACTGCTTCACAGTACTCTACAGCCCTCTCTAAGTGGTTTACAGAGTCAGCCTCTTGTCCCCAACAATCTGGATCCTTGTTTTACTGACCTCAGAAGGATGGAAGGCTGAGTCAACCTTGAGCCCAGTGAGAATTGAACTCCTGGCAGAGTTTGCCTGCAATAGCAGTAGCACTTAGACTTATATATATATCACTTTAAAGTGCTTTACAGCCCTCTCTGAGTGGTTTACAGAGTCAGCCTCTTGCCCCCCAACTATCTGGGTCCTCATTTTACCAACCTCGGAAGGATGGAAGGCTGAGTCAACCTTGAGCCGGTCAGGATCGAACTGCCAAACTGTTGGCAGCCTGCAGTCAGCAGAAATAGCCTGCAGTACTGCATTTTAACCACCGCACCAGTTCTTAACACAACTACCTGTGATTTCTAATGGATGATACCCTTATTGTAACTTTAACCTGGTTGTAAGTCGAGGGGTTATCTGTGCTCTCTTCCATAACACCCACTGTGGAACAGACCGTGTTTTGTTGCCTCTCCCAACTCTGACTTTTTTTTTTTTGCTTAAGCAGGGCATCGAGCATCCAAATCCTGGGAAAAAGTTCACCGCACGAGGATTCCCCCGTCACTGTTACCTTCCAGACAATGAGAAAGGCAGAAAGGTAAATGCTTCTTTTCCCTGACCTTAGTGGACTTCAAGTTGCAACATACTTAAGTAGTCACCGTTCCTTGCTTTCGCGCTATCGTTGCTCCTTCTTTTGTGTTGGTGGTATTCCTATGTACGCCCTCATACTTCACATTCTCTTTCTTCCTCATGTCGCTCTCAGTTGGCCCTACTACATCTATCACCATCGCTGTCTTCTGGTCTATTGCCAGGATGGTGATGGGCTACCACCTGTGGGACTTCCAAACAGACAGGTAGGTGGTAACCAATCCAACCAGACTTCATGATAGTAGAAGGACCAGAAGACAGTGATGATCCTGATAGACAA